AACGGATTATAATTGACTGTAGACAGAGGTTTCCCATTTAAAAATTAGTCTTTTTCTAACTACTTAATCTAGCTTGTTCCAAGTTCATTCAAATTTGGCTACAGGGAGAAAAAGCTGAGGGAAATGCTGTTGTAAAGTCTTCAATAAGCACTAAATCAACCTTATTACTCCTCCTTTGGGAGGGTGAGGGTACAGAGGCAGGGAAAATTCAAAGGTGAATATTGTAACTGTAAAGTTACTGGGCTGTTCCTATAACCACATTGCTGCTTTTGTGCATCCCACTTGAGGATTTGGAAAAAAAAACTAAAGGTCAGCCTTGTGGAGGCCTTGAACTGAAGTCTTGCAGGGACTTTAAATTTTCTTACCTGCAGATTCATTGTCTTCCATGTCTTGGTTATGTTTGTCAGGTTAACCCATTTGATTGGGAAAACTGTACATCTAATAAAGGGTGCTGTAATCTGTCTTATTGTCAAGTTAAATTCCTCCCTGGTTCGTACTGTCATCTTTTGGCCAGAAGGATCAGTCAGCTAAGCTTGACTATAATCAAGTTAGTTTGATTAATACCACAAAAATGTGGGAACAGTGTGGTTTGGGCGGAGGGGGGTGGTTTTACAGATGTTGCATTTAAATCCCAGATATAAGGGTTCAAAGCAGTTTGCTGCACAACTTAAAGGGGTGCAGTTGGTTGGGAGGGAGGGGGGTTACTGATCTCTTCCCCATGCAATTTTGGATGCTTCGGTATTGTTCAGCTCCAGTAGGCCGACATCCACATCCTACTGTCTGTCTCTGTCTGAAAAATGAGCTGGCTTTCAGGCTTCTGTTGCTGGCCTGTAGTCCCTATTCAAGCTCTTTCCAAATGCTCAAGCAATAAGCACAGTGCTTTGGTGCTTGAACTGTAAATACAGCAGAGGAATGTTCCCCTCTTTTAGTAATACCAGCCTCTTAAAGTTTCTCTATGCAGTGTCTTTGTCCAGTATTTGCCACTTAGTCTTGGTTGCAGTGTTGGTTGGTGAGCCATGTATTAACTGTAATGTTGCTCGGCCTGGATGGACAGATCCAGGATTTTGTAAAGGGGGGATGGGAGTAGCTGCTAATGCTGCGGGGGCAGCTACACTCCCTGCCACTGTCCTCGGCCCCGGTAGATATACCCATCACCAGTGGGGGACTCTTAAAAACAAATATCCCCATTTGGCTAAGAATCCTCCATCCCCCTCTGTGTTCCCTTCTCCCGGCCCCCTTTGCAGCCACTGTCTCTGGGGGTGAAGGAGAAGGAGGCTTTTGAGCAGCTCCTGTCCCATTCCAGCCATGCTGTATAGGGGCAAGAATTTGCTGGGGACAACAGTGGCATGCAGGTTCCTTCCCTTCCTCTAGCCGTGCCTGCTCCTGGGCAGGGGGATGGGGCAGGACATCTGCGGGGACATAGCAGGAAGGAGTAACGTGCCTGCTTCCGATGTTGGTCTCCAGCTGAGCTTGGCTGTGGGGATGGGGAGGAGAGGGGATGTCATGGAGCAGGGGGAATTCTGCCTGCTGATCCCAGGGCATCACCTTTTAAAGGGCAGATGTCTGTGCCATTGTGCCCCTTCTGGATCTGCCCCTGAGACTGGGTTTTTGCAGGGTGGGGGGCAGGAGCATGTGAAATTTATCTAACTGAGACGAATATTTCACTAACAAATAGACAGCTCGTCGCTACCATTTGTAGACAGCTGTAGATGTTAGACCAATATCCCAAATCCCGTTCATCTAAAAGTTTGTAGTATTAGATAGGAAGGACTACTTGTTAAACACAACAGATGTAGCGGTGTTAAACCATGTGTTACTGTGTCTGTAGCCTCCACCGCAGCCTGAATAGGGAAAAATAGCACTTTATAAATACGAAGTCTATTATCTTCCAGTCCTGATAATAAGCAATTTTTCCTTTTTGGAGTCTTGCTTCCTTCTGAAGAAGGAGCGTAGCTGTTCCGTCTTGAATGATGGACTTTGTAGAAGGCATCATCAGAACATGTTATGAGCTCTGCCACTCAATTATGCCAAAATATTGATGTTGCAGCTCTTCCACTTTCAGGGCAAATGGAGAAGAACTTATTTTCTTCAAGTGGCCTCGGTACAAACAGCTCTAATATTACAAAGAGCTACCTCAACAAAGTGTGTACGTGTGTGCATACACGCCTGAACACCACCCTGGCTCGGAACGGCTGTTCCAGATCAGCATTTCTCAACCTATAGCTTCTGACCTGGGACCATGGGGCTATTCTTGCTTCCTGGTGCCAGAGAGGGAAATGGGGCCCTCAACAGCTTGCCAAAACTTGATAACTGGCACTCCGCCAAAATAATTGCCTGGCCCTGCAATACAGCAAAGTAGGGCTTGATGGCATGGGGATACAGGACTCCTTGTGTCTGCTGGTCATCCAGTTGAGGAGGTGAGTGCATATTCTGACTGGTTCTCCATTCTGGGCTGTATGATCTCTAGGACCAGAACTTCTGGCTAATTTACTTCAATAACAGTCTTCTTGTTTGTTAAATTCCTCAGCCGTCTTCTTTTTAGAAGGTATCTGCCACCTGGATTACTGGCAGAAGTAGAGTTGAACATGGAGAGAAGCCACCTCTGTCACCTGTGTCATATGTGCTTTCATACGAGTTAACATCCAGTTAGTCCACCATCTGCACAAGTGCTGGATAAATTCATTTAGCACTGTTTTTTTCCAGGGCAAGAAACACATGTATGTCTTTTAATGCCCATTAAACTTCAATATGAGGCAGCCAAGTTGAAAATTTCATTAAACTAAAACAACCTGTTGATGCATTTGAGGAGTGAATTTGCTTAATGTACCTGACTATCAAAGCTATAAAGATGAGTTTGGCATATTACCAATAAAGGAGGTGGGGGAGTAATTCCTTGCCAGGCCAAATCTCTGTATACAATATCAGGCGGAAAGCATTTTAATTTGTGGGGAGGACCAAATGAATTAAACCTCGGTAATAAGGGGAACAAATATAACTGCAAAAAATACCCAAGTCTTTCATTTCCTGAATGGCAATTTAGTTTGCTCAAAGCTGAAGAAGAAGGTTTTTAATTGTAGCAATCGCTATACGTGTTCCTACTGGACTCAGGCAAATGGCAATTTCTAATATGCTGGCCTTACTGGAATGGCAGGAGTTTTTCCTATTGTGAAAAGATTTAATCTCTTTAACCCAGGGAACTGTACTAGAAGTGATACAAGGTACAGGATTTAAAAGGGGGAAAAATGCCTCTTCAAACTGTTGTGCTGTACCATGTTAAGTCTCCTTTACTTTGTCTCAAAGTTTTCGTCTCTCAAATGTCGCACAAATTCCTCTTTTTTTTTCTTTTAAATGGCCAATAATTGTGTTAGAAGCATTATGTGCTCATCACCGTGCTAATACAACTGATTTGTATTACTATTGATAATAAAAACTTGGTATGCTTGGTATGCTGTATGTGTTTTGATTGATTGCCTTTCTAAAGTACTGCACAAGACTTACTCATTCACCGAAACAGTTCTGATGTTTAGTTCAACCCAGATTTCTCTGTTCATCCTAGTTGGACTGCTTCTATTTGGGAAAGCGGCCATGCTGTACTTGGCTTAGTAGATCTCTAAGCTACAGTGCTTAGTCCAGGCCTTTTTCCGCATTGCTTCATACTCCCTCACCCCCAAAACGCAGCTACTGTTCAAGTAAAGTGCAGACAGAAGTGACAATTTTCACCTGATTTAGCCACAGAAAGCAGTTTAGCTGTGACCAGACATATGCGCGCAGCTGCAGACAGCTTAAAAAATGGCTGATCATGTGAAAATCCGACCTCTCGTTGCATGAGGTATCAGACAAAGACTTCCAAAATGTAGCATCTCTTGTACCTGTCTGTTGAGCTCCCAGCCTGTCCCTGTTTTCAGACGAAGGGGAAAGGGGAGGGAGTTGGGGCTAGACACAGGCATGCCCAGACAGAAAGGGGGCCCCAAAATGGTATTGTATAGGCAAAGGATTGCAGTGAGGCCCACAGTACTGTGATACCAAGCTGAACAGGCCAAAAAGAAACGGTCTTTTATAGAGACAGCCTGGTCCAAAGGGCTGAAACCTGGCAGTCATGGTGCTTGGGGCCCTATGAAGAACTCCACTTAGGGAGCTACAGCTGCTGATGCAAGCTTTGTTTTTGTGCCTTAAATGCAGGGAAGGAGAACCTGAATGCAGGTGAGTTTGCGGGGAGGGGACCCTCCCAGCAGGTGACACCGGGGTCTGAGACATTTGCATGAACTGGTCTGACCCAAATCAGTTAAGTCCTGATGCTACATTCAACCAGGCTTATCTCAAACTGGTTTCAGCCATTTTGAAACTGGCTTATGTGCACTGAACTTATTTTCTCTTATAGGTTTAAACCAGTTTCTGATCACTTAAACCAGTTTGTGTAATGTCTGTCCCTAGCCTGGATGGCAGATGCCAGGAGGATGGCTGAGCTGTTGAGGTTGCACTTGAGCCCCGGCTGCCTCCATAGCTCCAAAGAGCAGCAATTCCCTTTAACAGGTGTTGTTCTGGCCTGTATGAATCTCTGGGGCAGAGCTTCTCCACCTTTTTAGACTCTAGGCACCCCTCCATTACGTGTGAATTGAGCAGCACCCCTTTTAAAAAAAATTTATTACAGTGTTTATCTCCTTACAAGGGGGCTGGGTTGGGATATGGGGGTGGTCAGGCAAGGACTGAGCCTGTGCTTGTGTTTCCCTGCTTATCTCACACTTGGCTTACCTTCTCACACCTCCCAGCACCCCTCAGAGGATCTCATGGCACCACTGGGGCACACCCAGCCTCTTGTTTGGGTGCAGGGTGGTAGTGGGGGACGAACTGGATTGTCCCATTGGAGCATAATGCTATTTCTTCTAATGGAGCATAACGCTATCTCTTCTAATGAACTGAACAGGTTAATTTCTTGAAGAAAACTTGAAGTGGCATCATGAATGTGGTAGAAGTTGAATGCGAGAGAGGAACATGTGCAATTACTTGTGCGTCCACTGTGTCAGCTGAAATAAGGGCCTTCCTGCTCTTGGTGCTGTGCCAACTCGGTGCAAAACCTGCAATCTAAGCTGGAAGAGATCTAGCAGGTAGGCGTGGCAAACACCTGGAGGGGATGGAGGAGGAAGGGCCAGATAATTGGACTGGGTTTGAATCACTTTGCAGACTTAATCTATACATAGAAACCTCCACATCTCCCTCTTAGGACTAAGTCCTCCCTTTTAGGACTAAGGCTGGCAAACAAAGCTTTTGCAAATCTCCATGTCACTTAATAGTGGGAAATCAATTGATCAAATACTTTGCTCTTCCCTTCCTGCTTCTATTGTGGTGTGTATCGCAACAGGACTGCTGCATTTTGGCATGTGTTACTTCTCCTGTGTCTGAAGTGCCCTCTACAGTTGCATGATACGGTTCAGAAATCTTCCTGAAAAGAGTTGGCTCCATCTTGTGGCCTTAAGGCATCAAGCCTGGAGGTTGAAACTCAGATTTACCTCCAGGGTAGAAGTGCTCTAGTTGGGAGCAAAACGGTGGGCATTCACTTCAGTCTGATGCCTGAGCTACTTAGAGATCCATTAACAAACTTTATTTTTGTTTTGGTTACTCTGTGTAATGATTCATTCATTAATAGTTCTCTGTTCTAAATTAAAAGCTGCTTTTGCACATGCATGCTGACTGAATTCCTGCCAAAGTATTTTAACATGCCACAGAACATCTAGTGTTTCATGAGAATAGTGACTTTAGCAGTAAGACCCCTATGGCAATAAAGCATTTGCATTTAATCCGCTTGCACTGCAAGTGTAAGTTTATGCTGTCTGCCAAACACTGATTTCCTCTTCAGTAAGGAAGAATGTGTGTTGTTTGCTAGGATGCTGTAGGGTCAAATAAGCATTTTGTTTGTAGAGGTACTGATTTGTTTGCTGAACCTTAAATGGGGTAGGAGCGTGAGTGAAGTTACTTTGTTTGAAGTTCATTCCCCACCCCTTCTCCACTTTTTTTTTTTTTTTTCTTTCTCTTTCTGCTAGCCAAAAGCAGTAAGGAAGTGCCAGCCAAGGGCCTAAGGTTTGTGACTTCAGAGAACTGGAGGCAGAAGATGTGGTGTAACTGGGACCATTCACCTGGAATTAACCATTAAAGCCTTCAGTGCCTGCTGTGAGGTTTCCTCACTAAGTAGGTGGCGTTCCCTGGACTTTGTGGCACACTTCTTCCTTCTAAACTTCTTTTACCTGTAGTTTATATTTGAAGCCTTAATCATAAGAGCTTAGGCTGTCCAAGGCGGCCTGTTTGACAAATCCATGTTAAGGTGTGTATTCATTGGCTTGTACCTTATGAATGCAGGGACAAATTTCTATGTGCATATAAAAATGAGGAGGATGGTATAAACTTCCTTCCTGTTTTTAATCATGCTCAGACTACATCTAATAATAACAAATCATATGGTCCTTTTTGTAGGGACATGGTAGCTCCTTGATGCTAAAAGGGTTGCTCGGTCGATTCCGGGATGGCAGTTCAGAAATTGTTAGTGTACAACACAAAAGTTAGCCTTTCCTTTCCATCTTTCCCTCGCATCTAGTAACGGTCTGCCAAACAGTGGAGCAGGCATCTATTTCTCATTCATTGCCCCTTGATATGCCCATAGTGTGGAGAGGTCAAAGGCTCATTTACGTGGATAGTGGATGTGCATGATCAGAGAGAGAAATTTTTGTTTCACATTTTGGAGGAATAGTATTCTAGGGGATTGGGTCTCAAGCAAGAAGACCCTGATTCTTTTGGCTACTACCTTGCTGGGCAGTGAACCTTTAGCTACATGACCGTAAATGCCTCAAAGCAGGTGCACTGTCCAAAGCTGAATTCCCCGGCTCTAGTGGCACTTCAAGACTGCTTAGACCTTGTTTACTAACAAGCTGCTTCTATGTTCTTAATATTGTCACCTGTGGCCTACCTCCCTGCTCCTTGAATTGCCAACCCACCTCTAACCAGGCAAGGAAAATGCCGCAGCTCTGTGGTCAAGTTCACACTTGCTGCTGAGACGTGTCTTGCCTTGTTCCTTATCTCTGGTTTGTTCATAACAAGAGCTGAGTAAAAGTTATACTTCATGTTTTTAACATGAGCTTTTGGAGTCAGGCTGAGTATGTTGTTCTGGGTGGAGCAGGTGTTGCAACAACACGTTATAACACATCCTTTGTCATTCTGACTTGGGGGGGAGGGTGGTCAGGAGAATGGGGTGTTTTTAATCTAGGACAAAAATGTGGTAAAGTCAAGTGTGCTAAATTAGGAAGATGGGCTCTGAGTGTGTGGAAAAGACAGTAGGCAAGGAACAGTATTTGCTCTGCAAAGCCATGCCAGGCTTTCAGCAAGAACCTTGGTGGAAGCTGTCCAAAAACCAGAGTTGGGCCCTCGGTCCCTTTCTAAACCTTCACTAAAGGAAGCTAAAAGTAAAAGGCTGTAACCGCATCCACATCCACACCCAGTTCCTACCACGCCTCTTCCTGGAGCACCTTTCTGATGCACCAATGCTAACCAAAGTGAGCTGGAGCTACATGTTGACTACTCAGTCCCTTCCTGATGGTCTCTTTAGATTATCTAGTCCTGGTCTCTGAGGCTAGGTCCTTGCTCTTCTGTATTTGCTTGCTGTGTTTGGGCCCTATTAGTAACAATAGGGAGTGGAGGGAGACAACTGGCTAGAGCTCTCAAAGAGAGGAGCTAATTGTGGGTGTCCAACATGAGACACCAATGCTTCTTTTATATTAAGAACTGGGCCTCATGCAAAGCATCCAATTTCATTCCTGTTTTAAAACCTTGGCTTTAATCTGCTTAAGCAAAGTAATCCTAAAGTGATGTTGCCTTTCATTTCTCTGGTGGCAGACCCTGGAGAGGGGAAGATGTTGAACCAACTGCCCATTTTCCCATAACAGAGGAAAATTTAAAAACTCATAGCCAGAATTGAATTGCCTGCATTAAAACAGACCATGGTTTTGCGATTTCTGTCTGCACCTCAATATATATGAAAGTTGAAAAATACTGCAGCTGGTCCATTAAATAAGGGGCTATGGACAAGGAAGGCATCCTGCCTGACCACTGCAGGCCACCAATGCTCTGGAATATGGGATTGGATTGCTCATTATCTGAGGTGGTTAAAACAAGTAATAATCACTGGTCAAAATTATCCAGCCCTTTTTGCTCTTAATTTGTTTCTCTTTCCATCCTCCTATCAGCTCCTCTCTAACTCTGGTTTCTATTTAAGGGTCACTCAGTTCAGGTTGTAAAATTTGTCATATTGACACCCTTTGATAACTTCCCACCTGTGTCCTTTTCCTGGCTCTTTGCCAGTACAAGGCCAAATCTGGCCCTGGTTCTAAATTGAAATTAAAGGATTCATGCAGCCACTGAATTGCGCCATTAGATGCAACCCTGCAAGTTGCTCTGTTTTTGTCATGCCCAACTCTCCATTGCTATTGTGGAGGAGAGAATTACTTAATGGCACCAATTCAACTCCCGCTTTCTCAGAGACAGCTGGCATACTTGACACTTGTAGGCAGGTTCAAATTAGTGCTGATGGTGCTATAAATTGTTTGCTGCACTGCTATTTGTGCTCATATCCAGAGTCCGGTCTGTGATTGCTGTGCCAATGGTGCACAGAATAGCTATAGATGCAGGTTCTTTTTCAGTGTTTTGGGGTCAGAAAGAGCCTTGGGCTCAGGTCCATGAAGGGATGTGGGCATCAGGACTTAGATGGAGTTCAATTTTTTTTTCCAGCAGCAGCAACAACGCTGAGGTTGGGGGTCCAAAGCCCTTGATGCAGCGCATTGGAGATCTGGGCACCCTGGAGTGGGGGGACACAGCCTGGCCCACTGAGTAGCTTATGGTAGCCTATAAGGGAATGCTATTGCATTGGGGGGTGTCTTTAAATCTCACCATTCTTGGAGGTTGAGATATCTCTTCTTAAAATTCCCAGCTTGATGCCTTCCTTTGGAGGGCTCCTAAAGCCTTTGAAAACTTTTAGCAATCTCTTAAAGGACAGCTGGTGGCAGTGACAGTGCTGCTATTTATGCTGCTTCATTATACAATAGCCTGGTGATTGGTGCCCACATGCCAACTAGGAGACTAGGCTGGGCTCACCTCTTTGCAGGAGATTCAAATCCACATCTCCTCTCCCACAAGAGCACCCTAATTGCTAGGCTGCATAGATTATGCTGGGTTAGTACTCACTCCCTTCTTTTTGAAGCTGTGCATGATATGCTTGGGTTCACTGGATGTGAGAGGGATTAGAAAGCATTACTCTATGGGCTGGTGTTTGAATGCATCGTCTTGAGAGGGGAGAGCTGGGTTCTAGCCCCTATTCCAAGGCTCTTTGAACTGAGGTCTCCCTTCGCTCAGGAGGACGCTCTAATCACCACAGTCATTGTCCCTTTAACATCCCAGGAAGATGTGCATTGCCAGAGCTTCAGCAGGTGGGAAAGCAAGCATGCAGCCCTAGCATGGCCAGGGACCTGGGTGTTATGGCTTTGCTGGGAGATCCGAGTTCAAATACCTTGCAGTGGTGGGGAGGATATTGATGGGTGGGCAGCTGACCCAGGGTATCAGAGACCCCAAACCACTGCACCATCATGTAAGAGGAAACATCACCCACTGCAGCCTGCCTTCCCCAGAGCACTTGCACAAAGAAGTGGCGGTGGCTGACATGCTCTGAGAGCACCTGCCCTGTTGAGGCCCTTTTGCAGAGAGGTAGAGGAATGTCTAATTCTCAGATGTTAGACTTGAGCCTGAGATGAAAGCCAGCGTACTCAGTCCTGCAGAGACTTGGCTGCTTTTGGGCATCCTCAGAAGCAGAGCTCTCTGCACCTGAGATGATCTGGTATTGCAAGCTGAGACATCTGTGCACTTCAGGCACCTCTAGGGTTAAGCAGTAGCTGCTCAGCAGTTTTAATTATCACCCTTGTGGACTAAGGTGCCAAAGTCTTTTTCACAGATTGGTGCCTTTGGGCTTTGCTAGAATCAGGCTTAATTCATGGCACGAGATGCTTGGAACCAACTGGATTTACCAATCTCAATTTGAATGCATGCAAATATGTAATCTCAATTTGAATACAAG